TATATATATATATATATATATACACACACACACACACACACATATATATATATATATATATATATAAATATATTCCCAAGAAGTCAAGTTAAAGATAAAGAACAAGATAAACTCTCCTTTTTATCATTTATCATTATTTGTCACCTTATGTTTTGTTAAAATAATATTAAAATAATAAAAAATAATCTAATATTGATTTTGCTGCAAACTTTTGACTTTTTAACAGGGGTTAGACTGACTTTAATATATATATATATATATATATACACACACACACACACACACACATATATATATATATATATATATATAAATATATTCCCAAGAAGTCAAGTTAAAGATAAAGAACAAGATAAACTCTCCTTTTTATCATTTATCATTATTTGTCACCTTATGTTTTGTTAAAATAATATTAAAATAATACAAAATAATCTAATATTGATTTTGCTGCAAACTTTTGACTTTTTAACAGGGGTTAGACTGACTTTAAACTGATAATTGAAAAGTTGTAAATTTGCAGCAAAATCAATATTAAATTGTTTTTCCAAAAAGCACAATGTCATTTTACAAAGCTTGTAAAATTAAACTGTAAAACTGTACACGGTTACCATCCTTAGAGCATAATTATATCCATATCCACATTATGAAGGCATATAATTATAACTAGGGATGCACCGATGTATCGGCCGCCAATATTTATCGGACGATTTTTGATTATTTTAAAGCCATTGGCATATCAGAAATAGCATGAAATACCAATACCGATGGTTTATTAATTAACTGCATGGAGACAACGAGTTGCATGTCTGTTACATAATCCAACGTTTTTCTCTGGGCAAAATAATTAAACACTTGCCAAAACAAAATAAAATCTGTACAAAATATAGTTTGTCAGACGGCATAGTACGGCCTATGCAAACGTGACGCTGATGCATCCAACGAGTGAAATGCCCGCGCTCAGCTGTAAATTCATCATAGGTAAGTCGCAATGGCAATGCACCAGTGTTAGAGTTTATCCGAGGATATATCACGAACCGCCAAGCATTAGGCCTACATTTAAGTGAAAATGAATGGCAGGTTATATGCAGCTTTTTGTTTGAAATCAGTGTAGAACATGGATTCACACAAGGTCACATCACGCACCTGCAGTGTTTCTTCTGTGAATGGAGAAAACAGAATAGAACTATATTGGCTACATAAAAAGGAATATATAGGCCTATAGACAGAATATATTTCACTTAAATCATTAACAGATGAACAAAACGAAAGAAAAAAATTGTGCCGAGTTTCGGATAATAATGCGCTCTGAAGTTCACGGGGGAAAAAAACGAGATGGCAGAAAGCCGTTTTCTTTATTTTGCAAAAGCTTTATAGTTTTGAATGATGTTCTGCTTCTATCTGTATGACAAACCAGCGTTGGTATGACCATAAATTACCCGTAACAGTTGGGAAAACAATGCAGTGATCGCGTTGGTGCCTTACACGCACATACAATACATTTTTGCTAATTTGACATCGCAGCCTGTTCATTATCAAAATAAAATACAGCTAAAGAAACATAAAAAGTTACACTGCTCAATTGAAATAGACCGTAGTACAGTCTGTGCCATTCAGTGTGACCAGCGTGTGCCTCACTGCTGATATAGCCTATATGTGAAGGATGATGTTTTACGTCGATAATGCGGGTGAAGAACAAAGCCTATAGTTTAATAATGGGTTAGCATCCAGATACTTTGCGAATATGGAAACATTTGGATTCGTGCAGAATGAGAGAGGTAGGCTTCAGTTTCGTTTTAAAAATAATTAGTTTTGGCTTGACGCTTATATTTAGCACAACTTTAGAGGATTTGTTGTGGAGAGAAGGGAACTAACATAGCCTAATTGTGTTTGCAATTTTGCTTTAATTTACCGGTATTTTAGCCTACATTATTTCTGAATGTAACAATAAAATGCAACGTACAGCCTACTAATTTAGGCTGTTTTTTCCCTCTCAAAACGCTTAGGAGTAGCGTTTTTTTTTATCCGTGCTGAAACATTTTTAAATATCTTGAAAAAAATACTTCTGAGAAAAAAATGTTCTTAATGCGTTGACAGTTTTTTCTTTTGTTTAAAACATTTGGTCTTTGGTAAATCTAGAAAAGATGATGCTGTATTGGCTATGACTAAGCGAGATCAAGACTCTCTTCATGATTTTTTTTCTTGAGTAAATTAAACGCTGTACTTTATTATTATTATTATTGGCAAAGAAGAAGTTTAAAAAACAACATTATTAACCAGTATGCTTTCTACTCAAACTGGTTTCACAGAGGAACGCAGGAACAGAAACGGTCAAATACCGATTCTGCTCGGAGTGAACCAATCTTTATTTTTTTCTAGTTTTTAAGCCCTGCTTTATACAATTGACCAATATCTGAATCGGCCAATAGCTGTTTGTTAAAATGGGTATCGGTCAAAAAAATGCTATCGGTGCATCCCTAATTATAACAATAAAATATATTTATTTTTGTGATGGCATAATGCAATTTATTTACACGATGCATAATTTCTCTTTAAATTCTCTTAAAAATCAAGTTGTCTAATAGGTAATGACTCCGTTTCATTCAACAGCTCCAGACGTGTTAGACGGGAAACCCCTTCCTCGTATCAGCCACACAACATCATAAGCTGCCATAAAATCTCATTTTAACTTTTATACCTGCATGCTTCATAAACACAGGAAAAACAACATGGGGGAAACGGGTCGGGCCTGGAGGGTGGAGTGTAATAACTCCAAAACCCATAATCACTTTTTAAGTATTGAGCTGTATGGCGACAGATATAGCAGGAGGGACGGGCTCTGTGGCGGACACCCGCTGGCGGTCAGAGGCCTGTCTGGCCTGCACAGCTGCAGATGTGTGTGTGTGTGATGCAGGGGACACCACAACTTTCCTGTAGACGTTCAAACACGGACGTCGCTGACCATAAATAAGATAGGAATGATGGTAATATTTGCCTTTATGGAGGGGAAAAAGCAGCAATAATGTTAAAAGTCCATTTTATAGGACAGTAATGGCACTTTGAGACAGAGAAAAAAAATACAGTAATGTGTCCCTAAGGATGACAGAAATTAGATGTTAAATTCAACAAGAAATAGAATTAGCAACCCATTTTACATCTGAAACAAGTAAAATAGGATATTCTAAAATGGGAAAAAAAAAAAAAATTAATTATAGAAAAGTACTTGAATATATCAGTAATTGCTCACGAAAAGTCACAAATGGAGCCAGACCTGAATGAAAGTGATACAGTTGTTGTTCACAACTGTTCAAAATGAATCGCAAAAGCCAAGATATGTATTATTATTAAAGGTTAAAAGCCTCCATTTTTAATTTACATTGCTTTTTGTACAATTTAATGACTACTTATTGTCTATAAATGGCAAAAAACGCCCATGAATTTAAAGTAGACATATTATGCCCCTTTTTACAATATGTAATATAAGTCTCTGGTGTCCTTAGAATGTGTCTGTGAAGTTTCAGCTCAAAATACTCCACAGATCATTTATTATATCATTTTGAAAATGCCTA